TGGGAAAGAGCAACAGGCAAAGGTGCAAAAGGAAAAGTGCAGGAAATAGGAACAGGAGCAAGTGAAGGCTGCAATAGGTGAGAGAACTAAGATGTAAGGGAGGAATGGTGATGAGCATCCTGGCCTCCAAAAACAGTCCTATGTAAAAGTGGGGTTATTTAAAAGTGCTGTAGATAAGTCTTGGGTTGCCACTACCCAGGAGATCTCAACAACAGAGAAGACATGTTTAAAAGGAAATGGCTGAGGAAGGCAAGCATGCCAATGTGGAATCATAAGGTAGCAAGTATCCTCCACCAACTCCTCAGGGGTGCAGTAGATAGCTTTGGACAGAAGATGGGTGGACAATATCTCAGGAGGGTAAAGAGGGTCAAACAAAGGTGGGAAAATTGATGAAAGACTAAGTTTTGAAAATCAAGATACAGAAAATCTGAACGATGGTATGCCAAAGCATTGTTACCTGAGATACAAGGGATGAGGCATCCTGACCACAGAATATAACTGTGCCAGAAACTGTTTGTTCATTTGTTTGTTTTGAATTTCATGCAAACCTACACAAGGGCTATCTGCACTAGCCATCCCTAATTTAGCAGTGAAAGACGAGAGGGAAGGCAACAAGTCATCACCACCCACTCTTGGGCTACTCTTTTACCAATGAATAGTGGGATTAACCATCACATTGTAATGTCATCATGGATGAAAGGGAGAACATGTTTGGTGGATCAGGGATTCGAACCCATGACCCTCAAATTGTGAGTTGAGCACCCTAACCACCTGGCCATGCTGGGCCACCACAAACTGGTTAGCATGGACTCCAATATCTGATAATGGATGAAAAACCAGGTTGGAGGAAGGGGTGGAATGTAAAAGGGAAGGAGAGGAGTCATATGATACAGGAGATGTAAACACCATATTCATAAAGGCTGAAGATAGTCTGGGGTCATCCACAGGGTGAATACAGGATTGTATGGCAAAGGAAGGAGGTATAAAAAGACTATCCAAATTGTCATCTTCTTGTCCAGATTCACCAGGAAAGGGACTATCTGTTCTGGGATCAAGAGATACTACAGGCTGCATAATGGACTTCAACTTACAAGACACTAAAACTGAGACCTCCTCTGCCAAAAGTGTGGAACCTGAAGCCTGAGAAACTGTAGGTTGAGGTGCAGTAGCAGTGGTGTTAACTACTGTGGTAATAGCAGTGATTTGAAATTCAGAATTCTTAACTCAACTGAGAGTAATAACAAAAGTAACAACCTACAATAACTCAAGATTAACTGTAGAAAAAAACAAAAGCAAAAACAACAAAGTTGTTGAGAAAAAAATTAAAAAAGCAAAAGCAAACACAAGCAAATTGTAACACATCTTCACAATACTGTGCAAAATCGAAAAGTGAAGATTAGGCTCTACAGTATAGAGGGAGCCAGCTGTGCCAGGAGGGTGTGTCACACTCCTATTGATGGAAGGTGTTGCATGCTTATTTGCATGCTACAGCACAACTGTACCACATTAAATACATGTGCTAGGTGTAGTATCAAGACTAATGGTGAGCAAAATATGTGCACATAAAGGGCAGCACTGAACAAGAAAAGCTATATAGTAAGAAGAGGTAAGGTATCATATTGAAATTAACTGTATTACAACATGGGTTCCAGAAGAAAATTAACTGTCCAATCCAATCCAAAGCATGGTGGGAATTTATGTTAAAATATGTTTCATTCCCTGAAGGGGGAATTAAATCTAACTAGGGGCAGTCAAAAACTTCAGTTTCTCTTCACATCACTGCATGATTTAGTATTAAGTGATGCCTAACAAATTAAGTATGTTTGGTGTTATCTGTCTTTGTAGTATTCTGGTGGATTGTGGAGAGCATGTTATGATTGGTTGGTTTATCCATGTTTCTGATTGTTGGAGAGACTTCCTGTAGTTTCAACCAATGACAGCTACCTTTAATCCAGAATCTCTGTTTAGTGAAGGTTTTATTATGTAAAATGATTCTTTAATTTTTTCATGTCTTCCAAAATTTGTCTTTGTTGATGATTCTAGTTTTTCCCAGTTTATTTTGTGTTCAGTTGGCATGGTATGTTTTGCGATGGCAGAATTCTGTGTTTTCATAAGTCTTTAAGTTCTTTTATTCTTGTCATGAGTCTTCTTCCTATTTCTCCAATGTATGTTTCGTTGCACAAACACAGGATTTCATAAATTACGTTTTTGTGTTTCTCATTGGTATATTTCTATTTGTTTTTCACCAGAATGGATCTTAATGTCTTGTAAGATTTCCACCAGACATCTATGTTGAATTTCTTAGCTAGGCATTTGAGTTTTTCACTTAAATTTTGCAGGTAGGAGAGGTAAATGGTAGTATTTTCCTTATCTTTTCTTTCTGTTGTGGTCTTCTTCAGGGAGTTTTTGATGAAGAAGGAGGTGTAAACATTCTGTTTAAAGCACAATAAAGGTTTTAATTGTTGTATGTTACAGTTTTAGCACCAAAGTAGAATTAGTTGCAAATAGTGGCATTCTAATAAATGAAATTATATATGGCAGGGACATTTACATTTGAAGTTAAAAATGTAGTTTAGCTAATCAATATTACAATTTAGACGTTAAAAAACCTATTATATGAACAACATTATAATGGTCTTTTTCTCAAAGTTTCTGTTTTTAGGTACTTCAAACAACTGAATAATGTGTTTGCTAACATCAGAAAGAGCAGAAGAGTTACACTTATCTCTGAATAGTTCAGCAGTATTGTAAGGCTTACTTAAATGATGTACATTTTGAAAAAACAAAACAAACAAACTATAAATACTTATATGTAGATATATATACTCACTCAAAAATGCACATGTTTCTGTTTAATCTGTACCATCTGTTAATGCAGGGTCTTGCTGGACTATTCCAGCCATGTCACTATCATATCCTGTTCCAGAATTTAACTGGCCAATACAACAACACCACCAAATTGAGAAAACAATGGAACATGACAGAAAGGAACCACAGGAAGCATATCAGGCTTGGTTTAAAATAATTTCTAAAGGGAAAAATCTAGGAGTTCTGTTGAAACAACTTCCTGAAGACCACCATGGATAGAGCCACCCAGGAAGATCTTCTTCAGTAACATTACAGCAAGTGAGGAAAAGGGACAAGAAGCTACCCCATCAGTACATCACCAAACTCCTTCAGAAAATAAAACCAAAAGACATCACAATCCAGGAAGGAGGCAGTGTTGTAAGCTACAGTTCAGTGCTAGAAGTGAGATATATTACATCTATTCAATTACTCAAATGATAAGTGAGGAAGTAACTATTTGTGAATTAGATGTGGTAACAACTAGTCTCAGAATTTCTGTTGAAATGTTGTTCATATACTTAGGCCTACAACTACATGTGAAAGTAGTCTGTAGCAAAGATTACAAAATAAATAAACTAATTTGTTATTGTTACATGGACTGAGTTTTGCATTATTTTTACCAAATAATCCAAAAAAAAATCCATTCAACAAAGAGTATGTTACAAAAATAGTGTAAAGTTTAAGTTTCTATATATGACTTTATCATTAAAAAAAAACCATAAAGCCTTAATTTTATGTTTGTTTTGTTGGATTTAGCACAAAGCAACTCAAGGTCTATCTGTAATAGCTATGTTTAATTTGAAAGTGATAGGCTAGAAGGAAGGCAGATAGTCAACTCCATTCAACACTAACACTTGGGCAGTAGAAGGGTACAAGTTGCAAAAATTCAGATGCCTAGTCCAGCATGCCAGTCATGGGCCCTGCTCAACTCTTTATAAGGTTACCATTGTTTATTTTATATGCAAATTTTAATACTTTATCAACTTTCCGCATATAAACATATGAATGAATTATACTCTGTAAATTTGCAAAATGACATTCTACATTAAAAAAATAATTTTCATGTATTATCTTACATTAAACTTCAATAATTATTACCTAAATATAATAACTAATTCTTTCTTCTAAAGTTGAGTATTCGAGTAAATACATCTATCAAGAAGTAATTTCTGTACAATAATAAAAAAATATTTTCCCTGACAAATAAATTAATGCATTCTAATCATTATAATCAAACTTCTAGTTAGAATGTTATATTAAACAATCTATATTACAGAGAGTTGAGTTGTATTAAACATAAATTCACAGTGAAATGGCATGTGTCTGAACTATACTTTACTACTACTTGGCATTCCATAGGTAGTGTGATGCCACCAAAAATTGAACACAGTTTGCAACAGTCCTTTTTAAAACAAAATATTCATATACTAAGGTCATAATGATGTATTCATATCTTTTATTTCTAATTTACAAGACAGATATACCACTTTTAATTAATAGCATAGTACAACAAAGGAATATAGATTTACTTGAGAAATTATGACCATCCTGAAAGAGATTTACAACTACTCATATCCCAACCATGGTAACCAAATTATCACTGGGTGAGAATCCCCAAACATAAAGGTGAGGTGGAAGAGCTGTTATCATTATCAAGAGGGGCCTCTGTCTGGAAAAATGACAAAAGTTTCTTCAGAATGTCCATTTAATCACCACATACTTAAAACAGCTAGAGAATGAAATGGGTATTCCACATGAAAATATACTGTTCAAGTAACTGGACACAGTATCTATGGATTTCTGTGCAATCAAATTGTTAAAACAGGTGCTAGGAAACCACTGTCCTTGTACATTAAATAGAATATGGAAAGAAAACATGAAGGTGTGATGTGCTTTGGAAATGAGCATCTTATGATTAAGCCTCTTGTAATGAAAACTATGCTGCAGGTCTACTATCAAGATACATAGTTGTCAGACAGAATATGACCAGATATAGGCTATAATGATGTGGTGAGGCCCTAAAATCATTTTATTGTAATTTCCTCAACCTTTTATCTATTAGGTTAATCTTTAGTTGTGATCTAAGTAGGTAGCTTGTTTTGATGTGAAATTCATAATAATTTCTATTCAATGCACATAACAAACAGGCTTACAGTGAAATGATGATCCTTTCTTTCTCGCTTGTGATTGTAAAGTTTCTGGAACAGGTTACTGTAGGAAAAACTAGTATCAAAGTGACGTTTCTTCATGTTCTTCACCTTGAAAAACAAACACAAACTACATACATCATCAGAGCTTAAATTAAATGACAATTTAGCATTTTGCACTCCCAAACCTAGAAGATTAGTAATAAGTACTAAACTGAAAATACATAACAACTAATATTCTAAAATCATACACATCTTTCTTTTGAGAATTTTCTAAGAAAACAAAGTAAATATCTTCTTGTAGTTATGTAATCAAAGCAAATTTTAATTTAGAAGTAGTCATGCATATTGAAAGAGTGTACTGACTTTCAACAGATAGACTAAAATTTGAAATGAGAAAAAAAATAGCACAATATTTGGATAAGTAGTGCTTCATAGGCTTTAACTAGAAATACAAAAACACACTATCTGTCATCCTACATACACCATGAAATATTGTTGTTTTGTACTACTCATATTTTCTGGTAATTTAAAATTTTGCTTTTCTTTATTGCTCATGTTCTTGTTATTCTTTGAAACCATCATTTCTCTCATTTACTTTTTTCTCCTTCTAAATTTTGTGGAAATAATATTTTTATTTCTTAATTACATTTTATGTTTGTGTCTTGTTCCTTGATTAATTTACTTGAACAAGTTTTGTTGTCTGACTATGATGCTTGCTCTTTTCTCCAAAAGGTAAAGATTGTGTGATCTTCTTAAGATAAGGACAACATCTCAGTGCTATGAAAGTTGCATCTATCACAACTGGAACACTTAACTAACTTATTAAACCTTTGACAGTATGCCCAGTAAGTTTGAATTCCATAATATTTTTTATGATTAAGAATTAAACCTTTATAATTTAGATTTTTATTCATTTAATGAATGCTTAACAAAATGTGTTTTATTTTTAACAACAAACATAAGTTTAATGCTGACTATCATCAAAAGTATGGAGTCTTCAGGTCTCATCTTACATCCTATTCTTAGACATGAAGAGATGATCTTACTATGTTCAAGTATGTGTTGTTTCAGTCACTTTGTTGCAAAACCTTACAGAACATTCTTTCCCTCATCAAGCATGAGGTACTTAATGACAAAAAATACTTCTTTCCTTCATACCTGTAACTTTGGATTTTGTCCTGAGATGATAAGAATGTGGATATGCAATACTTCTACTTCTAATGTATGTCATATCAGCCATTATTAGAAGAAGTGCACCCTGAGGTTTTTGATTTTCTGCTTCAGTACTGCTTTCAGTGTTATAAAGAAAACTGGTGAGCCCATGCTTCAATTTTTCTTTAGCATCTGCATGACGTTTATAATGTTTAGAACTTGAATGTGGTCTCCACAAACTTTAACCCTTTTGTCAGCTTCCATATTAATGCATGCAATTTCATTTACAAAAAAAAAACTTTCTTCACCAGTTTTTGCTGTTTCCTGAAAACTGGGCTAGCAACTTCAAACTGTATCATATTCTGGAGATGATAAT